ATGTATCCTTATATGCATAATTTCATTTTGTGCAGTAATTGAGGCATTTAGAATTGTTTTATCTGTAATTTACACTATCAATCCAATGACGTTAACTGTGGCATTTAAAAGAAATGGAAAGTTGACTCTGAGGACAAAAGTTTAACCAAACTGGAAGAAGTGATTTTGATCATCATGACCATGAACTTATGATTTATTTGCTAATTGCAAAGGTGCTTATAAAACGTAAATAAAAATAATTAAATTTCACTTTATAAGAAAACCTCCACCATTCTCACAGAGCTCTGCCGCTGGTGCCTCAAATTTCAGAACTTTGCATGGAAGAGGCACCTTTATAATTTGCCCATCAAAACTGTATATTTGGTTTGGTTGTATAATGTACAGGAGAAGTGAATTTTTTTTTTCGTAAATTTGTTGGAAATGAGTTTTTTTTTATCAATGGTATTGCTTTGTAAGTTTTCCTTGTCTTAAGAAATACTGAGAACAGGCACGTAACGTTCGTTATAAATAGCTAAATCATAGAGCGTTTTCATAGTCTGATGCAAAACAGTGACGGAATTAAATGTCCACAACTACTACCCAGTGTATGATTCAAAATATTACATTGGGGATTCAAGCTTCGTTGTAAATGTATAAATATGCAAACAATCAATCATACGTCACATCATCTACGAACGAGAAATTCTCCTCGACGATTTTATCATCTCACGCATACCCCAACGCTTATGTCTGTATATAAAAAAATTCAAAAATACCCCCCACTGAGTTTTATCACCTGAAAAGTCTTGTTTCTTTTTAGATGCATCTTATCCCTAATCTGCTGCCCTTTAAAATAATCGTCATTTACAACAAAGGTACTTGCCGGTGGAGAGCTGCAAATTTTGTCCTATACTTAGGGCCATTGAGCCGTGAGGGATATTTTTCGTGCCAGCACCTACTGCGACACGGGACTTCGGTTTATACAGTCTTATCCCGGTCTACAGGTCCCATAGTGGGATTCGAACCATGACCTATGAAAAGTGTCATTGAGAAATCATGTCATGTTAAAATTCCATTTATGTTTATTTTTTTTAATGTGGGGTTCCATGGTTATAACGGTCACCCGAGTATCATGAGTCAATACCATTATGACCAAATTACCCCAATTTGGACCGAATGTTTTATTTTCTAGTGACTAACAAGATCTGCGTAGAGGGTCTGGAGTATGATGATAAAGTATTTCGTATAATAACTTACATCGAGATATTGTCGCTTAAATCTTGGGTTGTAAAATTAACTTGATAATTTTGTTCAGGAGTCATGGTAACCATGCAAACAATTTGCATGAATATATGAATGAGTAAAGAAGATTTCAAAGTGACATTTTGAATAACTTTACCATTTGTCAACCTCCGATGGCACATCGGTTGACAATAGCTTTCCTTGTGATGTCAGTTTCAATGTTATATGAAATAAAAGAACAGTATTCAAGCTCAAAAGTCTAAGATTTTAAAGTGAAATTTTGAATAACTTTACCATTTGTCAACCTCCAATGGCACCTCGGTTGACAATAGCTTTCCTTGTAATGTAATATGAAATAAAGGAAAAGTATTCAAGCTCAAAATTCTAATAAAACAATGCAAATCAGTAACAGAGCAAACAGAATCTTCAAAGCAGCTTGGTGTAGGTGCCATGGAGCATTTAGCTTCCCATATCGACTGGTCACAGACGCCTTGTGCTCATCGTCATGATCGGGCAAATTAAAAAGCCGTAGACAACTCAGTGTAAATAAATATGATTTAACAATTGACATAATTTCAGTCATAATTCGAGTTACTTCGACCTTTTAAAGGAGTATAAAATACAAATAATGGGCAGATGTTCCTGAAATTACCTACTGTAGGTACTAAATTATTTTGCATTAAAGGACTTATCACGTGTTCGTAAGTATTATTTGAAATTAGAAGCCTATTACCTCCATTATACGCACAGTAGATAAATTTTGTATTTTAACTGTTTATATACTGCTGTGATTAACCAATTAGTGACAGAATGAAAGGCCCTGATTTAAAAATATTAGTTAATTAGATAGCAATAACGTGCCCTGTGACGTCAAAGAAGACAATTGCTGATCAGCTTTTCACGTTTTATTATTATCTTACTAAAATAAACCCAATACAAACTGAATTTTATGCGTTATAGACGACCAAAGCACTATTTTTTCGATTTGAAATTAAATACCAATCCTTATCTATTAGAAATATCATCAAGAAAAAAAGTCTGCATGAAAAACATATAAACATTGTACGAGTGTTGTCCCAGAAAAACTCTTGAAATATTTCATAAACTACAAGACCAAAATTAATCATTTTTGGCACAATGTTGAGAAATGACATTTTCGTCATTTTGGTTATGTAATATAGGGTTGTGACATAATATGCATTTAGAAACAACGTTTAAAGGGTGTTAATTAAATGTCGGTGGTCGGCTCACGGTGATTTCTTGACTCTCACAATTTGCATTGACAGCGATGTTTCTTTATCTGACTATACGGAAATATAATGTGATATCAAATCCGTAGAAACTGTATGATCAAGAGTTTTTGTGTAGAAAAAATATATACGCTGATATTATGAAAAAGTAAAATATTACGTTATATGAACAAACACTATAAGTTAGATAAGGTCAAAAATGGCGACATCAGGGGAAAATGCGGCGTTTTTCTGAGACAACCCTCATATTATGACAGTGACGATAGGGAGAGTGACGCGGCGAAAACGATGAAACTCGGAATTACAATACGATGAGATTTGTCATCATATTTTGTCTGAAAAAAAACGTGAAAATCAAATAAGATACATTTTGGTAAGGCAGACTTAATAACTTCAGGAAAAAACTACTGCACAAAATTTATTTTACCTTTTTTTTATCTTTTTAATTTTATTTATTTATTTATTTATTTTATGGTAGTAGATAGGGATGCTGGAGTAAACGTATTTTAAAAAGGAAAACACATAGAACTTTTAAATTTTGATATACCTGTTATTCCTTAATCATTATATTTAAATTAAAACTTGACAGGTTTTAGTGTATTTAATTCAGAAATTCGGGAAATATACATACAGTTACTTTACAAAATATAGTTACTTTACAAAAAAAAAAATTCTTACTAAAATTATTTCATCAAATTTTAGTGAACCACCAAAATTATTTAGAACATCAAATACCTACTGAAATTTAGCAGATCAAATAAATTAAAATTTTTAGCAACCTCTAATCAAAACTTAATTAATAAGTTTTGTAGTTTCTTATTAATTATTTTTAACCGTTCTGTATACATTGGAAACCTTGATCTTCGTGAAAAGTGCGGTAAAATGAGATGTTCTCCGACTGCAGGCCATAAATGAGGCAAAACCTGGTCATTGAAAAACATATAAAACATACGTTTAATTTCAGATAAAACTCATTATAATAAGTTACAATACAGTAGGGAAAAACGCATGATACGATATGATCACTATGAAATCATCAAAAATATAATCAGAATAAGCTTACTTTGAGCCGACGACTGAACTGTCAACTAAAACTTAATAATGAAAAAAATAATTGTTAACTTTGAAACTCAACAATATAGGTTTCTGAACATTAATGAACTTGAGGACTTTAAGACCTGTTAAATATAAGGAAATGTTTCAACGTGCAGAAAGAAATCATTTATCTATTTAATTAATTCTTTCACAGTGTAATGCTTATGAGATTAATTTCATGATATCTGAAACCTTAGATAAATAAAACTCTTACATCATTGTGACGACAATTCACACTTCCCACTCAAAGTTATCCGTTTAAATAATGATTTATAATGAATTCAATGCTTAAAACTTTTTTGGAGTTTTTGACTTATGTCAGTTAGAAAATTTAAGAATATTTTTTTAAATAGCTTAAAAAATTAAAAATACGAGGAGAAATAGGTTAAGGAGGTTTGTGAAATTTTAAGGGTAATCTTTTTTATCTATCTAATAATGTTCATTCGACATAAGATTTAATTGTATTCGCTGAAAAAATATTTTATTGATCATAGAATAAAAAAAATGATTTTTTTTAAAATGAGACTGTTGCTATCCTTATTTCATCAATTATTTTGCCAATAGCCTACTTTGATTTCGAAATTGCTTGTACGTACAGCATGTTTATAGGACTTATCACGTAGGTAATGTTTGTTTGGATGAGAAGTGATGTATGCTGTAAGTATACGAATTCTATGAGAAAAAGAAAAACTTGAAGACTACTTAAGGACACATGATACAAACAAAAAAAGGAAGTCTGGATTAGTATATATTTTTTGGCCTAATTTCATTGAAAATGATACAAATAATATATTTCTAGAATATAAAGAAATTGTAAACCTATGATATTCAAAAGTCTGCCTATCTGAAACCATCCTTATTTACCTATACAAATATTTTGTTACTTCAAATTCCATTTTTGTGAAAATTTGACTAAAAATTCAAAAATTACGCGGTAAAACTTGTTCATTTTATTCATTAAAGCATGAGGCAGGTCGTTTTTTTCATTTTTTTTGACAAAAGTTTGTTTGTAACATCTGTCCTTAATTTTGCTGGTTCAAATCCCACTGGGGGACGGGGAACCGAACCTTGGGAAGAGACTGTGTGAAGCGATGTCCCGATGTCGGTGATGGCACGATTAAAAATAAACTCATAGCCAAAAGACCCCAAGCGCCTAGTACATGCGTAAATTTGCTTTCGTCCACCCGCAAGTGGTGGCGTCTCAAAAGTGGTAAAATATTCACAACGAGACCTTAAACACCGAAAAAATAGGAACATACCCGTTTACATTTAGCGTGGCTTAATTACTTTGCCTGCGGTTTGTACTGATTCCGTGGCAGTATATTCTATTTTCACTTAGGTTCTTGATAAGAATGGTTATAAAAATCAAACTGGTTCTTTAACATGTTTAAAGACAAAGTTTATTGTATATAGATATATTTACTGAGGTATATTTCTTTCCCATGTTCTACATGTTCTATGTAGGGGTTATCCAGGAAACGCGAGTCGTGTTCAGTATGTTATACTCCAGGTGTTGATATCCTAATTTTGAAAACAAAAATGAACACCATAACTCGGTAATATTTAAAGTATCTTCACTTATAAGAGAAATCCATCTGTAGGCGTTTTTCAGTGCATTTCCTCGATCTGTACAATAGGCGCAACGCCAAATAGGTCCTTTCATAATCCTTTCCACGAACCATTTTCTTTCTGCCGTATACTCCACATTCAAAAAGGCATATATTTTAGCCACTTCTATATTTGGATACTGGCAGAGTTGTTCGTATATAACTTTCATCATTCTTCTCTTGTGACAGGGTTCGAGGTCTTCAAAACTCGACAGATCATACGAAATAGTGTTACACAGTTCCCTGGCTAGCGTAGACACATTTTTCCCCTCATTTATAAAATGCTCAAATTGAGAGTTTACTATTCCACGGGGATCTCGAAGCAAATAAATAATTTTTAAATTTGGAAGCCATTTTAAGAGCTTTCCCGCCATAAATATAGAAAGTCGGACGGTTTTTATCGTCCTTGACGCCGCACTTCTACATTTGATTCGTAAGAGTAATGCGCAAGTTTTCACAATTCTTAGTTTAGTTTTGTTTTGATGTTTCCTGTTCGATGCTACACAGTAGTAGTAGTCTCTGAGTTCTGGAGTGTGATGCAATATAAAACGGTTTGTTAAAGAGGTAATATCGATATTATCAAACTTACACGTAAACCAATGGTAAAGTAATTCTGCGTAGACTGATTGTTGTTCCTCTTTGACAATGTTTCTAAAAGAAAAACAAATGAAAATCATACTTAATGACTATTTTTTTAGGGATCAATGTTTAATCGATTGACCGATTACTTGGTTTAAACGATGGCTGTCGGTTGGAAAATCCGTTAGTAGGGAAAACTGTATTTATATAGCCTCACTTATAATTATAATAATTTTATTACAACGTCCATACTTTGCTCTGGGAGACCCAGAGATAAAAAGTAAATTAGAAGGTCCCAATTGAGTTGAAAGTCAAAATGTCATTACGTAATAAAGAATTGTGGTTGTATCGTTCAATGTTATTCAGTTGTATAGGAGGAGTTGAGTATAGGTAGTTTGAGTTAAGTACCGCATAGACAGTCGTACATGTGTTGATACTGAGAGAGAAAGAAAGGCAGAGAGAAACACAGAGATAAAGAGTTTAGAACCACCTGACAGTTCCATTTAGAAATTGTGTGGATCTGTTTTGTCTTATTGCCTGCCATACACCATGTAATGGTTCAAACATGTAGAAGTCGCCCTCCGTGTGGCGGACAAGGTCAGCCGTCAGTGTGGATCCCCCTCTCATGTACCCCACTATCAGCCGCAAAGGGGTCTTATCCTTGGCGTGATATCCAACTATATAAATATAAAACAAAATTAGTAAAGATGAAGAAGAAGAATATGCAACGGTAAACAAGTACCTCACGTTTTTCACAGTTAAAATTTAAATTAATTGCAAAAAATAATAATGTGATTTTTTTTTCTTTTTGTACAGTAAGATGTGTTTGTGAAACACTGATACTCCCGTATGGGATCTCACAGCGAACGTTAAGGTTTCTAAATTGCTAGTTAAATTACAAGGCCAAGCAAAACAAGTTGTTACTCAGAGGAGGGACTTGTGTCACTGGTTAATGTTTTCTAAAAGTGGGTCAAACTTCAAAGTTACTGATGCCCCCGTTTAACAGGTATATTGGCAAAGGGAAAAGTTTCTGATATTTAGATCAAACTCCAAGGACAAGAGATCAAAAGATATTACTCAAAAGAAAGGACTTATGTAAAAGAAATACCTTGTAAGAAGAAAGACCCAAACACCAGCCATTTAAAAGTAATGGTCATAGTATAAAACTCCAAGGTCAAAATGTCAACAATATGGTATGTTTGGTAAGCAGGGGAAGACCTTGTCAAAAAAAAACACATGCAAAATCTGAAAGCCTGAGTACCAACTGTTATTGAAGAAGTTTAAGTTAAATTAGGCCACACTCCAAAGTCAAGGACAAACGCTGTTGGTATCCAAAGGATTGTTTTTTCAGACATTTTGAAAGTCCTGTTCAAAGGTAAAGTCAAGGTTAAAACTATTTCTAAAAGTAAGTCGATCTCTAAGGTCAAGCTCAAAAGACGAAAAACTTATATACCCTTGGAAAGGTCTTGTCACCATAAAAAACACCTGTGAAATATGATGGCCAAAGCACCAACTGTTCAAAAACATGACGAAGTTCAGAGTGGACTAAATATTTGCAAAGGTGGGTCCAACTCCAAGGTCTAATATGTTGATATGTAAAGATACTAGTAGTTAAAAAAGGAATACATGTGTGAAATATATTGTTGAAAAACATAGCTTCAATCAATCAAAAGTTATGTGCAAGTTACTGTTTTAGTGGACAAACAGACGAACGGACAGGGCAAAAACTATTATATCCCAGTATATTCGATAACAGGGGACATTAAAAATAAGAAAATAAGCCATGCTTTCATACTTATACATTTACAAAGAGAATATCATATAGCATAGCATCTGAATTAATAATGTATTTTTGTATGTACTAGTTATTAAACTTGTGGAAAATAAACCGGGAGAGAATTTACAGCATATAAAAAATTTAACAATACTAAAAAAAAAAATTATCCACCGCTTTTACCTTTAGTTTTCAACAATTTCCATATAATATAAGAAAAATATAGAAATAATAATTAACCTAATGTAAGCTTCATTATTAATCAACAAAGTTCAAATACAATATAATGTTCTGATAATTATAATTTTATAGTTGACGATACCAACATTCATTTAATACGTGTAAAGGTTTGGCTGAGGATAAACAAAAGAGGCTGTCCATCTGCAGCATGTTTATCATAGGAAGAAGTCCCTTCACTACAAAAATCAAAACAAAGAAAAAAAGAACATAAATCAAATCTGAAAGTAACAATGAAGAACATTTTGCAGACACATTATTTTATGGATGCAATATTTGATTTTTCTTTTTACTTTTCTCGTAAAACAAAAGTTATATATCATCTTAGTTAAGAAAGATTAACACAAATATTGCCTTAACCTAACAAAAACAAATGCACTAAAAAAAATAAGCTCTCTTTACACGCTTCTCATTTCCACAAAACCATTACAAATGTGTTGTGCAACGGCTTGCCTTTGTAAAAAATATTATTGACTCTAGCAGAATAATTTCGGGGTCATTATTCGTCTTTACACAGTCAGAGCTATTTATATATATAAAAATAATGCTTCCATTTATCAAGTTGAAGTGCTGAATAGAATTTTTCGACACCCTTTAGATATATGGAAACAAATATCTGTCAAGAATAATCATTGCAAAAAAGCATAAACCATTTTTGTTTTAATCTTCGGTTACTAAATGGGTGATCGCCCGAATGACGCATTGGTTAGAGTGTTTGCTCCAGAGGTATGTGATGGCGTCTAGATATAAGTAGAAATGAGTTGGATGTTAAGTAACTAACAAAAGAAAAGGCTGGGTATAAACACATCATTATACTTAACAAATTTTTTTTTCTTTCGTTTTTACCCTATTGTTTACAAAAATCATTCGATAAACATTTGGAGATAATGGATTTTTGTGATGATAGTAGAGGAAAAAGAAATTGATGGGAGTGGGAAAAGGCAGATTATTACATAATGGCTACTGTGCTATAGACGTTCGGAAAATAATGATTCAACTGCTTCCGGGTAACTAGATTTTAATTATTCTTTTTCAATAAAAACGTTTTTTCAAATGGATGTAACAAATAAAACAATTTTTTATTAAGCATTATAGCAGTGATACTTCCATTACGCAGAGCAGTACTTGTTAAGGTTAAGTAAGGAGGCGGGGTTTAATCTATACGGGAAATGTTTACTATGACGTCACATTAAACATAAGGTCTTCAAAATACCTCAAAATAAAATTATTTGTTATTTCAAACACCTGGATAGCTGTAGACTACATAAAACATACTATTACATGCCTTTTTGTTATTTGTTAAATCCCACACAACAATATATACGAAAAAGAAACGCAGGGTAAACTTTTGATGTGAACGAGATTTATTTTTCTTTTTATGCTTTCAGTATTCCTATCCAACTTTTAAAATTACCTTTAAAGAAAAAAAGTAATCAAAATCCCATCTGATTTTGTCTTATAGTTCATGAGTTATTTAAACGTATACGATGATACCACCCAAAAGTGAAAATTGAAAGCTCTCAGTATATCTTCAATGTATCCCCTGCGCATCTGTCACAGCCTTGATTTTCATTTTTATGGAATTCATCAGTGTTTATCTTTCAAACCCTGCCTAACTTGGACATGGGTAACCAAGCCAAAATATTGGTCAAACGGCGCGCGCATGCGTCAGTGAAAGGAACATATAGATAAAGTTGAGCGGATCAAAAAGCCAAATTGCTCAATTGGTTTCTTTCAGTTTTGGCGTGAATGTAATGAATATTATAGTCTACTGCATTATTAGCGGTTTTGTGGTAGAAAGGTGTCGATTTAACAGGTGGCAGGATGAATAACCCGATCGCAACGTGACTCTTTTTTGCGTTAACGTCATATTCACGGTTGGTTGGAACCCATCCTTGGCCTTCTCTGACATCGGGTAACACGTTCAATTGGGAAAAAATTACAAGAAACTGGCCAGTAATAACCCATTGTTGCCTTTGTCCTAACGTAGGCACTTCAAAAAATCAGACCCCATGGAACTTCTGTAAACTGTATCTAGATTTCAGGAAATTCATATCGTATCTAAATATTGAAAAACAATGTGTATACCTCAAATGCATCAAATAGTACAAAAAGATTTGTTGACAAACTCGTCGTTATCAATTTGACGTCTTTAGGGCTTTTTTGCGTTTTCCCTAAGTGACGTCTTACATTTTACGGTTGAGTAACACTAATTGTGGTGCATAATAACTGACATTCTCATCTGATCAATTTTCTTAATTTTCGGTCATGCGGTCAAAAGAATTTCGAATATTTTACAACCCTTCGTTGTTTTCTCCTTTCTGCAGTACATAAACGATTAATTGATCTCAATGCACTTGTCAATGTGACTTCATGTCGCAAAAGTTGAAGCAATTTTTTACACAGTGAGAGGCTGATCAAGTCACATTTAGTACAATGAAAAATGTCTTTTGTTCTCAAATAAAATATTACTTGCAGCTACATAAAAGACTGTTAACTTGGATGCGATGTCTATTTTACTATTTTATTTATTAAATATGTCCGTATATTCTCCAGACAAGTGACGCTGTCGTATTATAAAATGCTTTGTAAATTAACTTTTTCGACTTTGTGTTAATTGTCATAAAAACTTTTCATATATTTCGACAAATGTGATAAATTATATAAATTCCGCACAGCCTTAATCCCCACTGAGGTATAGTCAGAGATTGAACAGTAATCCCTTAATTGACTTCTATTTATATTTATTGACACTTAATCTTTCATCTTTTATTATATTATATACATGCATTAAAATATCACCATTCCCTCAATAATTGTTTAATATTTGATTTCTATATACTTTTGTTAATCCTTTTATTTTACTCTGTCTTTGTTCAGTATGTATGATTTGTTGTTAAAAAATTATAAGCAGTTGGGATAAGACCTTTGGTGTTGATAGTTCCCAAGGTCATGTATAAAAGTTTATTTCTTGTTGATTCTATATAAAAGTCCAAAATTAGTAAATCCTGTTTGTCTCTTGAGGCTTTAAAGAGTCTGGGTTCAACAATAAGAGGAAAGCTCACGGTTGACCCAGAATCAGTAATAATAGACGGACGAATTCATCCCGTAAAACATATCTACATGCTTTATACATGAATGCTATTTATGAGAATCATTTCCAGTTTGTCCCACATTAATATTATAAACAAACAACCCAGTGATATTTGTTAATTTTATAAATTATAATCATAATTTGAATAATGTTTACAATAAAATTTGCCCTATAGCCATACTGGTCTAGTCTTTTTCATATTTCAGATGTTGATAAACTTTGTCTTCTAACAGAAAATAATATATAGCAAAAATAGATATGAATGCTTTTATATAAAATACAAATCATATGAAATATAACCTACATTATACTAGCTAAGAATAAGAAGAAAAAGGCTGATCATGTTTGCTAGTGTTGCAAAATTGTTTCCATGTTTTTATTCAAAATAAACTTGTTTTGTCAATGAGTGTCTGTTTTTTTTGGTTTTTTTTTAAAGTGTCACTGTGTTTATCTTGGCTAATTGGCTGGGACACCCCTGACTGCAGATAATGAGGTGTGAACTATGAACTGCATAGTATTGTAATAATTTTTACAACTCCACCACAGACAAACAATCTTATAGAACAATTGATAGCTATCAAAACAATTCCTACTATTTCAACAC